GGAGGCTGGGGGGGGCACGAGGGGAGGCTGGGGGGGGCGCACGAGGGGAGGCTGGGGGGGCGCACGAGGGGAGTCGGGGGGACGCACGAGGGGAGGCGGGGGGGCACGAGGGGAGGCGGGGGGACGCACGAGGGGAGGCGGGGGACGCACGAGGGGAGGCGGGGGGGACGCACGAGGGGAGGCGGGGGGACGCACGAGGGGAGGCGGGGGGCACGAGGGGAGGCGGGAGGGCACGAGGGGAGGCGGGGGGAGCACGAGGGGAGGCGGGGGGGGGCACGAGGGGAGGCGGGGGGGGGGGGCACGAGGGGAGGCGGGGGGGGCACGAGGGGAGGCGGGGGGGGCACGAGGGGAGGCGGGGGGGGCACGAGGGGAGGGGGGGGGGGGCACGAGGGGAGGCGGGGGGGGGGGCACGAGGGGAGGCGGGGGGGCACGAGGGGAGGCGGAGGGGGGGCACGAGGGGAGGCGGGAGGGACCGAGGGGAGGATGTCTACCCTGTCCACAACTGTGGTTCTTGGTTCTCTCTCCCTCCCTCCCTCCCTCTCTCCCCTATTCTCTGGGAAGCCTCCCTAGGACAAGGACAAACACCAGCAAATTTGAACACATTTACTGGACAAAGCACATACACAATACATACACACACATAATAATAATGAATCCAACACACTATACTGTTGTAGTCAGGTTGCACTCCAACACTATCAGGACTCATCATCTGCTTATCAAGTGGTATCCTAACTCCTGACCCACCACCTAATACTACCAACCTCATCAAGTAGGTCAAGTCTTATAAGACAATGTTGCACTACCAGCCTCAACAAGTGGGTAAATCATGCAGTACAATATGATATGGCGCTAGCAACTCTGGAACATATAAATATCTGCAGGCAATTCCGCCTATGGCTATAATTCTTTAAACATCAATATAAATATTCCTCGATAAATAACCATGATCAATCAATCACCCTATCAGTCCTAGAACACATGTGTGTCTCCGCAGGTAATCCAGCCTGCGTTCTGAATTACATAGAATTAAATTATAATCTGAATTAAAGAATTCAGACTATACTTCAGTATAAGTACTCCTTGGCACAAAAATGGTAATCAATCACCCACCTTTCACTGCGTCTTGCACGCTAATGACAACCAAACACTCTACCAACTCCCTACAAATGGTCAATAAGGACTTCCTAGTGAACTAGGGTAGTGAACTTCCACATCTGGAAGTTCACTACCCTGACATCTTCAGGTTCTTCCGGGTTTAACTGCCAGGATCCTCCGCAGCTCTTCCAGGCTGCTACACCATGAAGTTTTCCTTGAGCAACAATGGTGCTTCATCACTGGTATCACAAAAATATTTGGAACTTCATTCCACTACTCCTCTTCTCACAGCTTGAGGTTCTCTTCCTCACTGTATGGCAGCTCTCCCACAGAGCTCAGTACCTTCCACCACCTTGGAGTCTCATCAACTACTTCCTCTGTGCTGGCTTCGAAGTTCTCAGCAACTTCTTCCCCAGACAAACCTGCAACCCATTGACATGCCAATAAAAATGTTTCCCTATAAACACAAACGAAATAAACCACACAATATGCTTACACCTAACATCTCTCTGCTCTCCACATGCTGTGAGTGTGGACTCCCCCGTTAGGGCTGGTCCATCCTCCGCCTTGCCAGCAGGCGGCTCCTCACTCCGGGAACTGTCCTCCGCTGCCAGCCGGTCACTTGGCTCCAGGCGGTCGACGGGAGAGGACATGCTGCTTGTCCCTCCAGCTCTGTCTCTCATCTCTGCCAAACTCTCCACATCTTGTGTCAAGTCATTTACTTATTTTCTTATTCACTGTCCATTATCTTAAAGTATTTATCAAAGCCAACCAATTATTTTACTCATGCATCTTCCGTCTTTATTTTTCCGACCTTCTAGTCAGGTCAGGCTTGATAGAATAATTCTCAAAGGGGAGACGTTTTTCGGCTACCTGGGATCATAACATTATTAATATATGATTAGGACCAAATTAATAAATATCCTAATCAAATCTGATCGTTTGCTCAATATGCTGGCCAGTCTAAATCTTCATTAATATATTAATTAACCTGAGAGAGTATGGGAGCCAAATTAAAATAACAGCACAGTACACTGGTCTGCCATAAGTCATAAGCAAAAGCCAGGCGGGGTTAGGCACAGGAGTAGGTCTGAGACAAGGGTGTGCTGAGGGGTATGGGGAGCAGCGGCAGGGGGCACAGGAACGGTGGGGTGAGGGTTAGTGAGGGGGAATGGGTAGCAACAGTAGGGGTGTTCAAGAAGGGTGTGGTGAGGGGTAGTGAGAGGAAGGGTGAGCAGCAGCAGGGGTGTTCAAGAAGGGTGAGGTGAGAGGTAGTGAGAGGAAGGGTGAGCAGCAGCAGGGGTGTTCAAGAAGGGGTGAGGTGAGAGGTAGTGAGAGGAAGGGTGAGCAGCAGCAGGGGTGTTCAAGAAGGGTGAGGTGAGAGGTAGTGAGAGGAAGGGTGAGCAGCAGCAGGGGTGTTCAAGAAGGGTGAGGTGAGAGGTAGTGAGAGGAAGGGTGAGCAGCAGCAGGGGTGTTCAAGAAGGGTGTGGTGAGGGGTAGTGAGAGGAAGGGTGAGCAGCAGCAGGGGTGTTCAAGAAGGGTGAGGTGAGAGGTAGTGAGAGGAAGGGTGAGCAGCAGCAGGGGTGTTCAAGAAGGGTGAGGTGAGAGGTAGTGAGAGGAAGGGTGAGCAGCAGCAGGGGGCACATGCAGGGAAGGCTGAGGAAAAAAGAACACGAGGTCAATATTGGTCTGAGTGGCTGGTGGTAAATAAAGGTTCGAGGTGTAGTGATAGAGGGAGAGCAGATCTGAGGTTAGCATCATCGGGGCGTGACAGGGAGAGTTGGAGTGCCTGTGTGGGGGACAGAGAGGGAGACGGGGGTATGATAGTGGTGTGGTGGAGAGAAGCGGGGTCGATACATAACGGTTAAGGGCTAAGATTAGGTCATCAGTTTACATGTTATTTAGGTTCTCTGGTTATTAGTTTAGATTTCGTTCCCTGCAGTTCCATTTTAGCCACATATTTTCCAATGAATAAATTATAATAATCATCCATGACTCTTAACATATGTTTTGTTTCTAAATATATTTTACTTATTACATGTTAGGTTACACTTATTAGGAAGTGAACTCCAGCAACTATTTGTTTGTCGTCTACTGGAGTTTGTTAGTCATTCGGTATCATTCTTCAGGTGTCATCTGTTTTACATTCATCATTATTTTGGCATCGTCCCCAAACATTGACAAGTACGAACTCACTTCCTCGGGTAGATCAATAACGTAAATTAGGAACAGTCGTGGTCCCAGAACCGATCCTTGTGGGACCCCATTTGTTATATTCCTCCAGCTGGAGACCTCCCCTCTGTGACTCTGTCTTCTGTCCTTCAGGTATTCCTTTGCCCTATTTAGTATTCCAAATTATTTTTGGAAAAAGAGTAGAGTACTCCACGTACTGGAGGTACACTTATTCGGAGTAGAGTACTCCACGTACTGGAGGCAGGTCTGGTGTGCAAAACCAACACCGGCAAGAAGTGTCATGGTCGTGGAAGTTGATAGATACCTAAGTACTAAACACTATTGTTCTAATTTATTATAAAATATTGGAGGCTTAATCTGAGTCAAATCGTAAGTGTATTTTGACACGAACCTCACTTACTAAAATGATAAGGATTTGCAGTAGGCGGTTTCATCCATGTTAGCCAATAACACTAATTGTTCTCTAAACTAATGCAACATAATATACGTAACACCAGAGACCAGAAGCTGATTGAACAATAACCTGATTATAACCCCAGTGTAAGCAAAGCAATAGCATCAAGTCTCGCAGGTCTATAATAAATATTAGAGATTAGCCAAGAGGTAAGATTTCTCCTCCTGTCTCCTGTCATAATGAATAATATTATGAAAATTACATATTCAACAAAACTGATTAGTAATATTTTATAATTTATCGACTTATATCTTCACTGAAATATTGCCACTTAAATATCTCATGTAGTATATATCAACCATAATGTATATGCAATATTATCTCCCAAAGAAATATCGCCTCCTGAATTTTTGTGGTAGACTACATCGGTATACCTGCACCAGAGTATATCTGCACGAGTATATAATTTAAATAATCATATTTCATTGAGTCGGGAGACAGGCAGCCAGTGTATATATATGTGAGGCTTATATAGAAGTCTTCCCCCCAAAGTCGAATAATGACCCTCCATAGGATACAACCTCACAAGAAAAGCACTAGCTCTTGGGTACCTATTAACTCTTAGGTAACCATGATAGTTAGGTGATTGAAAATGCGCCCAATCATTTCTGTCCGGCCCGGGGCTCGAACCCAGAATTCCTGATTGTGAGTCGAGAACGAACCCGACTGTACTACAGGGACAAGAATATCTCGGCGAGGACATGACAACCGCAGCATCACTGGACGATCTGAGAGATAAATACCTCCACTATGATTTAGTCAATATAGAACACCACGCGGACCACGTACACAATTTACACGAAGTTCTACTGAGATTAAGATAATATGAAGAAGTTATAACTGCACAATACTAACAATAGTGTTAAGACACACTACCGTTGGTAATAGTAATTCTCAGCAGCTTAATGTATTTCATTCACGTAAATTGTCGGTGATGGCTAAATCGCAAATCATATTAAGGAAAAGAATCTAATTTTATTGGTTGAATTCATGTCAAGAATATTCAAAATATGGAAACTTTTTTGTTTCATTTTTCTATAAATTTTGTAAACAAAGAATTTAGATTTTACTAATATCATAAAATGCATCAAACTTGGGTATTTTGAAAGCTTATGTCCCCTGAATTTAACAATTATATCTAAATAAAGCACTGACAAAATTGTGTAGAAACACATTAGAATTGATTTTGTTTTTATTTACGGTTTTGTTTGAAAGGTATTAATCCAAGCTAACAATTGATACACATACCAAGTGCTTAGAAAAGTGGAGGTACGAGGCGATCGAGGCAGCGGAGGTACGAGGCGATCGAGGCAGCGGAGGTACGAGGCGATCGAGGCAGCGGAGGTACGAGGCGATCGAGGCAGCGGAGGTACGAGGCGATCGAGGCAGCGGAGGTACGAGGCGATCGAGGCAGCGGAGGTACGAGGCGATCGAGGCAGCGGAGGTACGAGGCGATCGAGGCAGCGGAGGTACGAGGCGATCGAGGGCAGCGGAGGTACGAGGCGATCGAGGCAGCGAGGTACGAGGCGATCGAGGCAGCGGAGGTACGAGGCGATCGAGGCAGCGGAGGTACGAGGCGATCGAGGCAGCGGAGGTACGAGGCGATAGAGAGGCAGCGGAGGTACGAGGCGATCGAGGCAGCGGAGGTACGAGGCGATCGAGGCAGCGGAGGTACGAGGCGATCGAGGCAGCGGAGGTACGAGGCGATCGAGGGCAGCGGAGGTACGAGGCGATCGAGGCAGCGGAGGTACGAGGCGATCGAGGCAGCGGAGGTACGAGGCGATCGAGGCAGCGGAGGTACGAGGCGATCGAGGCAGCGGAGGTACGAGGCGATCGAGGCAGCGGAGGTACGAGGCGATCGAGGCAGCGGAGGTACGAGGCGATCGAGGCAGCGGAGGTACGAGGCGATCGAGGCAGCGGAGGTACGAGGCGATCGAGGCAGCGGAGGTACGAGGCGATCGAGGCAGCGGAGGTACGAGGCGATCGAGGCAGCGGAGGTACGAGGCGATCGAGGCAGCGGAGGTACGAGGCGATCGAGGCGGATCGAGGCGATCGAGGCAGCGGAGGTACGAGGCGATCGAGGCAGCGGAGGTACGAGGCGATCGAGGCAGCGGAGGTACGAGGCGATCGAGGCAGCGGAGGTACGAGGCGATCGAGGCAGCGGAGGTACGAGGCGATCGAGGCAGCGGAGGTACGAGGCGATCGAGGCAGCGGAGGTACGAGGCGATCGAGGCAGCGAGGAGGTACGAGGCGATCGAGGCAGCGGAGGTACGAGGCGATCGAGGCAGCGGAGGTACGAGGCGATCGAGGCAGCGGAGGTACGAGGCGATACGAGGCGATCGAGGCAGCGGAGGTACGAGGCGATCGAGGCAGCGGAGGTACGAGGCGATCGAGGCAGCGGAGGTACGAGGCGAGCGATCGAGGCAGCGGAGGCAGCGGAGGAGCGAAGGTACGGGGCGATCGAGGCAGCGAGGCGAGCGGATCGAGGCAGCGGAGGTACGAGGCGATCGAGGCAGCGGAGGTACGAGGCGATCGAGGCAGCGGAGGTACGAGGCGATCGAGGCAGCGGAGGTACGAGGCGATCGAGGCGGAGGTACGAGGCGATCGGAGCGGAGGTACGAGGCGATCGAGGCAGCGGAGGTACGAGGCGATCGAGGCAGCGGAGGTACGAGGCGATCGAGGCAGCGGAGGTACGAGGCGATCGAGGCAGCGGAGGTACGAGGCGATCGAGGCAGCGGAGGTACGAGGCGATCGAGGCAGCGGAGGTACGAGGCGATCGAGGCAGTGGAGGTACGAGGCGATCGAGGCAGTGGAGGTATGAGGCGATCGAGGCAGTGGAGGTACGAGGCGATCGAGGCAGTGGAGGCACGAGGCGAGGCAGTGGAGGTATGAGGCGAGGCAGTGGAGGTATGAGGCGAGGCCGGGAAGGTATGAGGCGAGGCCGGGAAGGTATGAGGCGAGGCAGTGGAGGTATGAGGCGAGGCAGTGGAGGTATGAGGCGAGGCAGTGGAGGTATGAGGCGAGGCAGGGAAGGTAGGAGGCGAGGCAGGGAAGGTAGGAGGCGAGGCAGGGAAGGTATGAGGCGAGGCAGTGGAGGTATGAGGCGAGGCAGTGGAGGTATGAGGCGAGGCAGTGGAGGTATGAGGCGAGGCAGGGAAGGTAGGAGGCGAGGCAGTGGAGGTATGAGGCGAGGCAGGGAAGGTATGAGGCGAGGCAGGGAAGGTATGAGGCGAGGCAGGGAAGGTATGAGGCGAGGCAGGGAAGGTAGGAGGCGAGGCAAGGAAGGTAGGAGGCGAGGCAGGGAAGGTATGAGGCGAGGCCGGGAAGGTATGAGGCGAGGCAGTGGAGGTATAAGGCGAGGCCGGGAAGGTAGGAGGCGAGGCAGGGAAGGTAGGTGGTCACAATCCATCCTCTTGTTTAGACAGTAGTTGTGTAACCATGTTCACCACAGTACAAACATTGACGTACTAAACAATTAGATAGTTGAATTTTGAACTATTCACTTTATTGATTTAAAAAAGTGAAGCTAAAAAACTAACTTAAATACTGCTAGGCCTAGTACAGCACACATATATATTAGGCCTCAGATAGCGTGTATTAGACCTAGAAAAGTTAGGTTAGTCTTTGTAACTCAAGTAGAAAGTCGTTTTCCAGTTCGTCAAAATTCAATAATACAGATTTCTGCTTTCTAATTGTGTTGTATGTCGGTATATGTACTATGGTGTCATCGTTACTGTAAGTACTATAAAAAAGGAGAATGAGCTGGAGGTGAGATACTTAAGGCATGAGGTGGGCACTGATGGGGTACGTGGTGGGCGCTGATGGGGTACGAGGTGGGCGCTGATGGGGTACGTGGTGGGCGCTGATGGGGTACGAGGTGGGCGCTGATGGGGTACGTGGTGGGCGCTGATGGGGTACGTGGTGGGCACTGATGGGGTACGTGGTGGGCACTGATGGGTACGAGGTACACTGATGGGGTACGAGGTGGGCACTGATGGGTACGAGGTGGGCACTGATGGGGTACGAGGTGGGCACTGATGGGCACGAGGTGGGCACTGATGGGGCACGAGGTGTGGCACTGATGGGGTACGAGGTGGGCACTGATGGGGTACGAGGTGGGCACTGATAGGGTAACAGGTGGGCACTGATGGGTAACAGGTGGGCACTGATGGGGTAACAGGTACACTGATGGGGTACGAGGTGGGCACTGATGGGGTAACAGGTACACTGATGGGGTACGAGGTGGGCACTGATGGGGTAACAGGTACACTGATGGGGCACGAGGTGGGCACTGATGGGGTAACAGGTACACTGATGGGGTACGAGGTGGGCACTGAAGGGGTACGAGGTGGGCACTGCTGGGGCACGAGGTGGGCGCTGCTGGGGCACGAGGTGGGCGCTGCTGGGGCACGAGGTGGGCGCTGCTGGGGCACGAGGTGGGCGCTGCTGGGGCACGAGGTGGGCGCTGATGGGGCACGAGGTGGGCGCTGATGGGGCACGAGGTGGGCGCTGATGGGGCACGAGGTGGGCGCTGATGGGGCACGAGGTGGGCGCTGATGGGGCACGAGGTGGGCGCTGATGGGGCACGAGGTGGGCGCTGATGGGGCACGAGGTGGGCGCTGATGGGGCACGAGGTGGGCGCTGATGGGCACGAGGTGGGCGCTGATGGGGCACGAGGTGGGCGCTGATGGGGCACGAGGTGGGCGCTGATGGGGCACGAGGTGGGCGCTGATGGGGCACGACGTGGGCGCTGATGGGGCACGACGTGGGCGCTGATGGGGCACGACGTGGGCGCTGATGGGGCACGAGGTGGGCGCTGATGGGGCACGAGGTGGGCGCTGATGGGGCACGAGGTGGGCGCTGATGGGGCACGAGGTGGGCGCTGATGGGGCACGAGGTGGGCGCTGATGGGGCACGAGGTGGGCGCTGATGGGGCACGAGGTGGGCGCTGATGGGGCACGAGGTGGGCGCTGATGGGCACGAGGTGGGCGCTGATGGGGCACGAGGTGGGCGCTGATGGGGCACGAGGTGGGCGCTGATGGGGCACGAGGTGGGCGCTGATGGGGCACGAGGTGGGCGCTGATGGGGCACGAGGTGGGCGCTGATGGGGCACGAGTGGGCGCTGATGGGGCACGAGGTGGGCGCTGATGGGGCACGAGGTGGCGCTGATGGGGCACGACGTGGCGCTGATGGGGCACGAGGTGGGCGCTGATGGGGCACGAGGTGGGCGCTGATGGGGCACGAGGTGGGCGCTGATGGGGCACGAGGTGGGCGCTGATGGGGCACGAGGTGGGCGCTGATGGGGCACGAGGTGGGCGCTGATGGGGCACGAGGTGGGCGCTGCTGGGGCACGAGGTGGGCGCTGCTGGGGCACGAGGTGGGCGCTGCTGGGGCACGAGGTGGGCGCTGCTGGGCCACGAGGTGGGCGCTGCTGGGGCACGAGGTGGGGCACGAGGTGGGCACTGATGGGGCACGAGGTGGGCACTGATGGGGCACGAGGTGGGCACTGATGGGGCACGAGGTGGGCACTGATGGGGCACGAGGTGGGCACTGATGGGGCACGAGGTGGGCACGGGAGGCGTGCGGTGGGCACGGGAGGCGTGCGGTGGGCACGGGAGGCGTGCGGAGGGCACGGGAGGCATGCGATGGGCACGGGAGGCATGCGATGGGCACGGGAGGCATGCGATGGGCACGGGAGGCATGCGATGGGCACGGGAGGCATGCGATGGGCACGGGAGGCATGCGATGGGCACGGGAGGCATGCGATGGGCACGGGAGGCGTGCGGTGGGCACGGGAGGCGTGCGGTGGGCACGGGAGGCATGCGGTGGGCACGGGAGGCATGGGGTGGGCACGGGAGGCGTGCGATGGGCACGGGAGGCGTGCGATGGGCACGGGAGGCATGCGATGGGCACGGGAGGCATGCGATGGGCACGGGAGGCATGCGATGGGCACGGGAGGCATGCGATGGGCACGGGAGGCATGCGATGGCACGGGAGGCATGCGATGGGCACGGGAGGCATGCGATGGGCACGGGAGGCATGCGATGGGCACCGGAGGCATGCGATGGGCACGGGAGGCATGCGATGGGCACGGGAGGCATGCGATGGGCACGGGAGGCATGCGATGGGCACGGGAGGCATGCGATGGGCACGGGAGGCGTGCGGTGGGCACGGGAGGCATGGGGTGGGCACGGGAGGCGTGCGGTGGGCACGGGAGGCATGGGGTGGGCACGGGAGGCATGCGATGGGCACGGGAGGCGTGCGATGGGCACGGGAGGCATGCGATGGGCACGGGAGGCATGCGATGGGCACGGGAGGCATGCGATGGGCACGGGAGGCATGCGATGGGCACGGGAGGCGTGCGATGGGCACGGAAGGCATGCGATGGGCACGGGAGGCGTGCGATGGGCACGGGAGGCACGAGGTGGACATGGAAGGCATGAGGGGGGGGTAGATATGTGAGGAAGTGTTTAATATTCACTTTCAGTATTAATTTCAGAAGAGGAAGAAGCAATGCAGAAGTTAGATTTCATTTTCGTCGAAGGTGTTTGATATAACTTTATATTTTATTCCCTGGATCCTGAAGCTATTTTCCTCTTGTGTGATCCTTAAGTTGCCAAAGCGTTTCTGCTTTGAAGGCTTTTATGTGTAGTAGAATCGAGCTCTTAGCTCTTAGACCCCGCCTTTCTGTGTTGTACTGGTTTACTAACCTCACAGTAATGCTTTACATGTTTCACTCAAAAATATTCTATTAAACTTTTTTCAGGAACAGTGTACACCAATGTCAGGGGGAGAGTGAATTATGGTTAGTTAGACCTTTGATGAGTCTGTTGAGTGTTGGTACACTCTGGCTTTACTGTAACTGTTGTTGATGCTGCTCTCTCATGTCCGGTCAGCCCTTGACTCATGTTCCCCTTTACCTCATTACCCTGGACGCTTGTTACCCTTTACCTCATTACCCTGGACGCTTGTTACCCTTTACCTCATTACCCTGGACGCTTGTTACCCTTTACTTCATTACCCTGACGCTTGTTACCCTTTACCTCATTACCCTGGACGCTTGTTACCCTTTACCTCATTACCCTGACGCTTGTTACCCTTTACCTCATTACCCTGACGCTTGTTTCCCCTTACCTCATTACCCTGGACGCTTGTTAGGTTTTACTATTCAAACTTTTGAATGTTTTCTGTTTCACCATCTCTATAATGTAAGTTACTTGGGTGTTAAAGTTTAGCACAGAACTTCTGGTGTAAGCAGATGAAAAGTCGCAATAACGTGGCTGAAAAATGTTGACCACACACTAGAAATTGAAGAGACGACGACGTTTCGGTCCGTCCAGAACCATTATCAAGTCGATTGTGATGGACTTGATCCCTTATGGCTTACTGGTGCTCACTCACTCACTCACTCACTCACTCACTCACTCACTCACCTTGTCGCTCACTGGTCTTCAAGGAATCACTGGTAATAAATGTTAAAATCCATGAAAATAAATTCAATTTCTCTGGCTCATCTTATCCCCTTTGTTACGGTGAGAGTGAAGATTAACGAGGTCGTCTGTGGGAAAAGGTCATGTTAACATTGACCCTTTATCTCACTACCTCTCATTATCCCTGAGTCTAGGAGAGGGAGTATCTCCTCTTCTGTAAACTGTAATGTGTAGTCTGCCCGCCCTTTGCGAGCGATTTGGTCTTGGTTCGTGTCCTGCCCGAAGAGGATAGACTAGGCGCCCATCCTTAATGAACTTTACGCTTCGGTTCATCCAGCAGTGAATGCGTATCTGGTTGGTAAATGATTTGGCGGGTCGTATTACCGGGAAAAATAGGATTAAGGACCAGTCCGAAACGATATGCGGCTCTACAAGAATGTTACAACTCTTATAAGAGGTGTATGTTCTTCACAAAAATAATTATAAAAATTAGACATCGAAATAATTTACTGACGATGACCTGAGCATCACACCTCGCCGTATGAACCTGGATAATTGAAAGCGAAACTGCATTAATAATATATATATTATATATATATATATATATATATATATGTCGTACCTAATAGCCAGAACGCACTTCTCAGCCTACTATTCAAGGCCCGATTTGCCTAATAAGCCAAGTTTTCATGAATTAATGTTTTTTCGTCTACCTAACCTACCTAACCTAACCTAACCTAACTTTTTTTGGCTACCTAACCTAACCTTACCTATAAATATAGGTTAGGTTAGGTAGGGTTGGTTAGGTTCGGTCATATATCTACGTTAATTTTAACTCCAATAAAAAAAAATTGACCTCATACATAGAGAAAAGGGTTGCTTTATCATTTCATAAGAAAAAAATTATAGTAAATATATTAATTCAGGAAAACTTGGCTTATTAGGCAAATCGGGCCTTGAATAGTAGGCTGAGAAGTGA